CCTTCCTTCCTTCCTTCCTTCCTTCCTTCCTTCCTTCCTTCCTTCCTGGTACAGTCTTTGCTTTCTCTGATACTGTCCTCACACAGCAGACTCCCCATAAATTGTTCTTTCATAAATTGCAAATGATCACTTGTAGAGGGTTTTCAATATTTGATGGAAAAATGCATAAAGCTAGGTTGAAGGATATCTATAGTCATAGGCCATTAGCTTTAGAATAAGAGTTTTGTGAGTTCATAAGACTGAAGAGAATGGAGAAGACATTGAATTAATAAGCCATATAGATCAAAATTTCAGTAGTGCAAAAGCTGAGAGCCAGTAGCACTTGAAAGATTTACCATTAGTGAGGTATTGATTTTTGTAATATTTCTATTATTTTATATTTCTTCTCTTCAATTGTGTCGGATTCTTGGAGACTGCCTGGACTGAACTGCATGCAGTTTTCTTGGCAAAGTTTTTCAGAAGTGCTTTGATATTGCTTCCTTCCTAGGGCTGAGAGAAAGTGACTTCACCCAGCTGGCTTTGGGTGGATCTAGAACTCGGTCTTCTTGTTTTCTAGTCAATGCCTTATCCACTACAATAAACTGTCTCGCAAAATTCCCTGTCTCCTCTTGTTGTTTGGATCATGTATCATCACTTTCTCCATGTCATTACAGCGTATATCACACCTGAATGTAATGTCAAGCCTCTACTTCCTGCTCTTAATGCTTATTCTTTTTGCAATAACTTTCCATTATTGTTCTTAGCACTTAGACTGCTTCTCAGTCTCCTTCCATTTAACTTTAGAATCATAGACTTGATAGACTTTCCTATTCAGTATCTAATAAAGCATTTCAACTTCTTCTTAGACATTTCCAGTGATCAGATAACGCCATCTAATGAATCAATTTATTTCCCTGGTTAACAGCTCTTATCAAGTAGAACTATTTCATAATATCTAGCTTATTAATATCTAGTTGACACATCTATTCCCTCTTCTATATAATAGCAGCTACAGATATTTACATTTTAACTTATCTCTCCTCCTCTCCTCACCCCTGTCTTCTCTTTTGCAGAACTATTCCCTGTTCTTTTAACTGTTCCCAATAGCACTGGGCTTCCAGCCCCTTCACCGTCTTGGAGTTCACATGTTCTGAATTCACTCCAGTTTGTCAGTGGCCCTTTGAGACTGTGGTGCTCAGAATTGGACACAATATTCCATTTGAGACCTGACCAAGACATATTTTATGTTGCTCTAAATGTCAAGAACAGCATCTTCCCTTGGTTATAATATTGTATCAATTTTTTTTAGCTTCATCTTGGGAACACTTTTCTTTGGGTTCTAACAAAACTTTTAAGGATTTGTACATGCGCTAGGGGATTTTATGTTTGGGTTGGTAGGAATCATAGTGGTTTTTTTTTTAAAGATTGAATTCCTTTTCAATAATAATTTTAAAAAAGATAAATAGAAGATGAAGAAAAGTAAGCAAAATAGGAAAAATGGAGAAAAGAAAGAAAAGAATAAGAATATAGCAAAGAAAAAGAGAAAATATATATAAATGACTTCCCCCCTTAATCACAAGTATAAATAATTTTACTAACTTATCATCTTCTCTTAAAATACTACAAATGAACTTTTCTTCCAACAATCCAATAAGGACCTGTTTATAGATATATAAACAGGTCCTTAAAGCTTCATCATTGGGAGAAAAAGAATGATTATTGTCAAATAATCTTAAAATTTGTGAACTTGGAAGAATAAGTGGAGATTAGCAAGACTGGACTCATTAGAAAAATGGTGGAATTAAAACTGAGGGAGAGGCATGTCACTCACTCCTAGCTCACTCCTAGCTTTCGTTCAGATTTTTATAAGGTTTGTTGTGAAATAATTTAAGCATTCAACAAGTAGTAAAGTTATGCAGTCACTCATGTTTTGCCAGAAGATTTTACCAGCAGATATGTTTTGTCAGAAGATTTTTTTAAAAAGTCAAAAGTAGCAAGCTTTCAACTTTCTTTACATTCAGTGGCTTATTTAGTGCAGTCTTTTTCAGATCCTCCAAATGTTGACTCCACACTTCTGGAAAAACTAAAGAAGGAACCTATCGTGGTAAAGGCAGGAAAAAATGCCATGGTTAAGATTCCATTTGAAGGTCGGAAGCCAATCAGAGCAATGTGGCTAAAGGATAATCAGGAACTTCTGGATGATGACAGGATAAACATAGATTCTTCAGAGAACTTTACTCGACTCTCCATACCCAGCACCAGCCGGAAGGATACTGGAAATTACAAAGTGAGATTAAAGAACGAGTGTGGAAGTTTTGAAGTTCCTTTCAAGCTGGAAGTGATAGGTGAGGGAACTGTAGTATTCAGGCAACTATTTTTTATAATGTATGTAATGTATATAGAAAATGAAGTACTGTTAAACATTTGTACATGGAAGAATTTTTATTGCTTCTTCATGGGAAGCTGGATAAAAATAAGTTGATGTGAAATAAAATAGACAATCCTTTTCAATATAATCAAAGACAGATACAAGAAGTTTGCTTGTAGCACTATAATGTGCAGCAGTGGTGCTCACTCTGTGGTCCCTTGGACATTTAAAGGGGACCACAGGTAAAAGATGTTTCAGGGGCCAAGCATATGGTGAGGTAGCCACAGAAAAACAAAGTGTACTATATTGCAAATATTGACTTGCATCAGAAAATGTATCACTCACTGTCTCATGTCTATATCTAGTAATGGAATCTGGACAGAGAGGGGCTACAGTGAAAAAAAAAGGTCAGACGAGGCCATGTGCAAACACAAAAGTTGAGAAACACTGGTATGCAATATATATAATGTATATATTGCTATAATTATACCAATATTTTTTTCTGAACTGTTCCTTTGACCAAATGTTTTGTTTGGTCATTGTTGTGTACTGTTCTTTCTGAGGAAAAGGAGACCTCATATTTGGAACCAGAGATGGACATTTCTTCCATTTGGGCAGAATACTTGTTTCTCAGATAGAAGACAATTGCAGTAGTAGACAGATGAGCAGGAGGAGATGGATAAGAATGTGTTGCTAGTATTTAATCAATTAGTGTCTGATTCTCTAATTCAATATAATCAAGGGAGTAAATAGTGCCTTTATAGTATTGTTAGCTTCCTTTTTTAGAATTTATTTGTATCTAGCCTTAGTCTGCTAGCTTCTCTCATGTGAGTATGTTTTGGTCTTTCATTCAGATAAGCCACAATCACCAACAGGCCCTATAGCGGTTGTAGACAGTTCCTCCAATAGCATAACTATTCAGTGGAAGCCCCCAAGAGATGATGGTGGTAAACCAATCCAGAATTATATTATTGAGAGGCAACAGGTTGGTAGAAAGACCTGGGTGACACTGGGAAAAACCACTGGAAGCTCTACTATTTTCACCACCAACAAAGTGGAAAACGACGCAAGCTATTACTTCAGGGTGAAAGCAGTTAATTCCTTGGGCAACAGTGAGGCCCTGGAATCTGATGAAGTCATGGCTGCTGCAAAAGGTGATTTGTCATTTTCTTTATGTATGTTTGTCAAAGGGTTATGACAATGTCTAATGCTGTAGCAAAACCTAAATAATTTGTCTTCAATGTAGACTGCATTCTACTGAACATGAACATTGCCATTCAATCTCATGAATATTTTGCACAAATATTATTTTTGAGCATTTCAGGCAATTCATCAAATGCATTATTTTGGCAGTTCTTACAGAAAGCTCTAACATAATACTAATATATTATCTTTATTAAACTTCATTAATACAATAAATAAATACAATAAATAGTAATAGAAGATTTATTCTCTTTGCTAATATGGATCCAAGATATTCAAGAATAAATTTTGAACTGCTGCTACTTCTTGGGATAGGGTAAAACAAAGCCACATTCACAGTTGTAAGGAAAACCTCTACATGTCATTATGACCAGATCTCTCTCTGAAGGTATTGGAATTCAATATACTCTAGCTGATTCTCATTACAGGGAGAAAAGATTTATTTGATCAGAGACCCCCAGGCATCTGAGGGAACCTATTGGGTTTCAGATGGGACTTGAGGGTGGTTCCTGAGACTCTGATGCATGGTGCAACTGAGACCTTATGTACTACTTGGAATTAGAAGGCAATGAAGTGGGTTCCCCCTATAAATGGCTCCTAGGGAGTTGTATCAATGATATGGGGTCCCCTGTAAATGTGCCCTAGGGAGTTCCCTGATATTTAGGAGTCCAGAGATAAAACAGCAGAAGTCCTAGAGCACTGATGGAGGGAAACTCAGGACAAACCTGAGAGGGTTTAGGGTGAAATATGATCTTATGGTAATAAAATCAACACAACCTAATTATGTTAACCATGATCACATCTGCAGATCATTAGTTGGCAGCTATCTTCATTGTCTTCACCAGTACCTCTTGCATAGCTTTATGAGGGTAATTGAGGCACCGGTCAGTTAAAATCAGATTTGACTTACTTTACTTTTTAAATCAGACCGTCTCTTTGCTGTTATTTTATTATCTTAGTTGACAATGAAACAACTTAACTTTAAAATCTTGGAAACAATTCCTCAGCTTCTCCAGGCCCTCCTGCTCCACCTAAAGTTAACAGTGCCAACAAAGATGGCAGCACAATTTCATGGTCTGCACCACATAAAATAGGGAATTCACGAATTTTGGGCTACAGAGTTGAGAAACGCAAGAAGGGCAGTAACTTCTGGACATCTGTCACTGATTTGCCCATAACAGGTAAGTAATTTATGTTTCTATAGGAGGAGGAGGCTAAAAGATTTAATTAAAAAGAATTGTAAGAGTCATTTGTATTTTATAGTTAACTATGCAGGTTAACTTACAACCATTTGCTTAGTGATCAAAGTTACAATGGCGCTGAAAAAAGTGACTTATGACATTTTTTCACATGACTGTTGCAGCATTCCCATGGTCACATAGCCAAAATCCAAACACTTAGCAACTAGCTCATATTTATGATGGTTGCAGGATCCCTGTACTCAGTGGTGGGTTTCAAAATTTTTTAGAACCTCTTCTGTAGGTGCGGCCTGCTTTGTGGGAATGGCTTGCAGGCCATGTGACCAGGTGGGAGTGGCTTGCCAGCCATGTGACCAAGTGGGAGTGTCTTGGCAGTCATGTGACTGGGTGGGCATGGCCAACTTGTAAAATGTGGTGAAACTCACTTAACAATGCTCCTGCTTAGCAACCAAAATGTTGGCTCAGAAACTCTGGCATTTGAAGCACGCAAGTCTTAAAGCTGTCAAGTTATAAGACCTTTGCCCCCCTAACTCTTTAGAAAAAAACCCCAGCTTGACAGCTTTAAGACTTGTGGACTTCAACTCCCAGAATTCCTCCTCTCGTTCTTCATCTTGATGATGTGGGGACGGGCAGGGGGAGGGAGCTGGAATCAATTCTAAACGGCACTGTAGATTTGTGGAACCTGTTCTATAGAAGAGGTTAGAACTGGCAGGAACCCACCCCTGCCTGTACTGCAATCATCATGAGGATCACGTGATCACCATTTGCAACTTTCTGTCAGCAAAGTCAATGGAGAAGCCAGATTCACTCAACAACTATGTTACTAATATAACAATTGCAAGTGTGGCAAGAAAGGCCATAAAATGGGGCAAACCTCACTTAACAACTATCTTGCTTAGCAGCAGAAAGTTTGGGCTCAGTTGTGGTTGTATATCGAGGACTACCTGTATCGTTTTGGGAACTAATATTATTGAATTACAATAATTAAATGCTGAAATAGATAGTAAGTTATTAGATATCAGAAGCATTTTTATGAGAGAAAGTTTGATCTGGCTAGAGTTGCCCAAATAATTGCTCTTTTCTCAGTATCCATAAATACATTGTCCTTTCCTTGTAAGGGCTTCCTCTGTAAAGTTTTATCAGAATAAAGTATAGGTTGCAAAACAATTCATTATCCTTCTCTCAGTGGATGTAGCATTGAGATGTTGTTGAAATGTGTGTGGCCAAACACAATCATATTTATTGAATGATATTAAGATTAGTTGGGATTATATAGAAAACAATGGCACCACATGCATGATTATATTGGCTCTGTGAATATATATTTCTCACCCACCCTGGTCTAAAAAAAATATCCAGATTTTTGGGGGGATTCTTTGTGCCAGGCAGAGACAGACAGTCAGAGATGGATGATAGAGATAGAGATGTATGTGTGGTATTTTACAACTTGAGGTTTATGACTTTCTTCAATTTCTGCAATCATATGCTAGCACTAGTCCCAAGATATACTTTCTCTCTGTCATTTTTGTCATATTCCCCAAATACCTTTTATATTGCTGTGTCTATGTCACCTGAAAATCAGATCATTGGTCACCAGATAGAAAATAACATGTTAAGTCATAATAGAAATTTCCTATTTCTGTGACTGCACCTTCCCTCCCCTATCCCCCCAAATCATGGAGTCTCATTTTGCATTTCTATTTCAGTATTCACAGAATTGGATTGCTGTTATTCTTCTATTTCTATATATGTTTCATGAATGCTACAGAATCTTATGTATTATTCGCCAGGTTGAAATTCATTGAAATTTGATCAGAATGGATCATAACAATCAAATGCAAAGACTATAGAATATTGTTGTTATCTGGTCAGAACAAGGGTGGGCTTAGCGCTCAAAATGTTTTTTACTTAAAATGATCTATGCATGTGCACAACATAAAAAAAAGGAATAAAAATTACATTTTTTCATTGAAGATTGTTCTGCGCTTGTGCAGAACAGAAAATCAAGATGGTAACACCGAGGATAGAACCAGTATAGTGACGTGTCCACCAGAGTTACTATCTTTTTGGCCCAACCGGACTGAATATGTAGAACCCACCTCTGGGTCAGAACAATTGTAATTCTGTATGGCAAAAGAGCACTTTGGGTTCTGTGACCTCAGAACCCAAAGAATGACATCTTTAGGACAACAGCTGGGAACCCAATCTCATACATAAGCCAATGTATATAGATATTTCTTACTAGCTCAGTTTTTTATTCTTTATGAAATTCAAAAAACTCACAACAAAATAAATATGAAATATATGCATAAATTATTTTCAAATATTAGAGAATTATCAGGATAATAATTGCAAAAGCAATAATGTGCATACATCCCTGTTTATGAGATAAAACTAGCTCATTTATGCCATAGACAGGAAATATACAGTGAATGATTTGAAGGAGGGACTGCAGTATGAATTCCGAGTGGCTGCCATCAATAACGCAGGAGTGGGTGAGGCCAGTGCACCTTCAGAAGCTATTTATGCTCAAGATCCTATGAGTAAGAAGTTTACTTCCTCTCTTATATTTATTTGCTTATTATTCAATGTATATGTATGCTGCTTCCCTTATAACTGTGTCTTTAAGCTGCTTGCAATAAATAGTGTATTAGTAGTGGCACTGAAAAACTGCAAAGGTAGTATGTGGATAGAAAAAGTTATTTCATAAAAAGTAATGGCATGTGATTACTTCTCTCACAATCATGTAGTAAAATGAAATGTCCCTTCCCAAAGCATTGTGCGTTTCTCCAGAAAGTTCTCTTCACTCACTCTTTGCTGGTTTAAGTATTCCAAAATAGTGATAGTTATATATTTATAGAATGGTTCTTTCTGAAACAGTTCTCAGTATTCTGGATGCATTTACGTCCCAAAACACAATGCTCTAAAAAACATCCTCTCCATTTTGTGTATTTGATTCTCTCAAAGGACAAGATAATCATTAACCACATTCACAAATTCCTTTTTAAAAACTTATTTCTTTAATTATTAATTTCTATTAATGTTTTAAAAAACCTAATAAGATTATCTAGTGAGTGAACAAATATACCATATACCAAATAATGAGGTAAAGTATTTGGCAATCTATACATAAAATGGATGGCATTAGTGGGATGCGGTAGCTCAGTGGATAAGATGCTGAGCTTGTGGATCAGAAAGGTTGGCAGTTCAGTGGTTCGAATCGCTAGCTCCGCGTAACATTATTTGCCCCAGCTTCTGCCAGCCTAGCAGTTCGAAAGCATGTAAAAATGCAAGTGGAAAAATAGGAAAGTAACAGCTTCTGTGTGCCTTCAGTGTTTAGTCATGCTGGCCACACTACCACAGAGACATCTTCGGACAGCGCTGGCTTTGAAATGGAGATGAACACCACCCCCTAGAGTCTGGAATGACTAGCACATATGTGCGAGGGAACCTTTACCTTTATTTTTACATAAAATGGAATTTGTTTGGCTTCTATTGAATGGATGATACTCAATTTTCAGGAAAGTGTAATTCAGTAGCTATTCCATTGACAGTAGGACAAAGAACCATATTTTTCAGAGTATAAGACACACCTTTTTCCCTCAAAAAAGAGGCTAAAAATCTGGGTGCATCTTATACACTGAATACAGCATTTTTTTGCCTCCCGACACCCCGTCCTCTTCATCAAAATGGCTGTGCAAAGTCTGTATGAGGCTTTTAGAGAGCTCCTGGGCACTGGGGAGGGCAGAAAGAGCAAAATTGGCCTGTTTTTTTGCCCAATTTTACCTCCCCAGCCCACAGGAGCTCTCTATAAGCTTCCTAAAGACTATCCATGCCCTTTTTTAAAAACAAAAAAGGGGCCGTTTTCACAAAAAAGCTCCGTTTTTTGCTTGTTTTTGCTCCCCCTCCAGGAGCACTCTGCAAGCTCCCTAAAGGCCTTTATGCCTTTTTGGAAAGGAAATTGGCCTCGTTTTCATGAAAACGGGCCGTTTGTGGGAGGTTTGCAGAGTGCAAAAACTTTTTAAAAAATTTTCCTCTTCAAAACCTTGCTGCGTCTTCTAGTCTGGTGCTTCTTATACTCCGAAAAATACTGTAAGTTACTATTAGAAAATGTTCTGTGGTGAGGGAAAGAAAGAATGAAGAATGGGGGTTCCTACTGGTTTTCAGTAGATCAATGTACCAATGTACCATAAAGACGAAAGTACCATAAAGAGATAATAAAGTAAAGGAAACAATGGGAAACAAATTGTAACAAAGTAACAATGAAATGATATCAAAATTTTAACCTTCCTTTTTCCAGAACCTCCAGATCCAGTGAAAGATCTAAAAGTGGTTAATACTGATTACTGTAGCATCTCCTTATCATGGATGAAACCAGAATCAGCAGAAGAAAGTTCTGTCAAAGGTTATATTGTTGAGATTCGACACTCCGATACTCTGAAATGGACTCGATGTAATACTATCCCAATACAAACAACTGCATATACATTTAGAGGATTAAAAGCCAGGGAGCCATATTTCCTACGTGTGAGAGCAATTAGTGATGGTGGTTTGAGTGACCCAGTTGAAGTTGATACTTGTGTTCAGGCAGTACCTTCTTCTGGTAAGTCAAACTATGTAATTTTTGCTTTGAAAATTAAATATTTACAGAGATAATTCTGGACTACCTTATTTATATGAAATTATATGACTGTTCCTCCTATTTATATGAAATTCTGTTCAAAAATAGTGAAAGGAAAAAGCAAAGCATGTGAAATCTATGATATAGCTGTTATTTAACAGGTGGGCAAGAGGCTGGAGAACGAAATGATATGATTCAATGTACTGAGGATAAGGACAGAAAGGTCAAATCTTATGAAGGCCCAGGTAAGTTGAGGATAGTCCTGTAAATTCAATATTAAAAAATTGAGTTTGATGGGAGAACTTGAAAGAGAAAAGGAAACAATCTGATAAATCATGGACGTTACTCTAGATGGTTCTAGAAAAGGCTAACACTATTGAAAGAACACAGAAGGAGACTTTTGAAAGAAAGCCAAAACTAGAAGACATTGTATCCAGAGAGAACTGGAAAAGACACGTCATAGTTATATTGAAAAAGAAACTAAAGAAGAATACTTGGGACATATTTAGCTCAACTGTCATATCCAGGGTATTTACAAACTTGAAACCTTCAAGATATATTGGATTATCATCATTCATAGCTGTGGGAAGTATTTTAATGGAGATTATTGCAAATGCCTAACTCTGAAGAAAAGACAGCATTGCTCTCTTTATTAATATTTGGCAAGTGTACAAGGGAATATATATTTAATTGATTATTTTTCACAGTAATTTTTAAATCAAATGGTATATTAGACTATTTGAGAAGGTGATACTCAGCTGTTCTGCATGCATACTTCTTAGATGATGAAACATCTCGGTTCTATAGAATATGCAGTGGGGAGTGAGGAGTTGTTTTGAGCATTTTATATATTGCAGTTACAGAACTGAACTAAACAATATGATGCCAAAACTTACTGAGTTACGAATTTATGTATGTATATATGTACATCTGTATTTCCAGTTAAGCCCAAGTTCTTAGTGAAGGATACTGTTGAAAGTTTCATGAAAGTGAAAGCAGGAGATGCCATCCATGTGCGTATTCCTTTTGAAGTAAGTATAGCCTTTGCAAGCAATATATAATAAATCTGTTTCTATGCTTTTTTATATGCCAGTAAATGAAGCTATGTAGAGAATTGGAATTGTTTTAAAAATAATTTTATATGTTACTTTATAATAATCATTGAAATGAAAGAAAAGCTAGAATACTTAGAACCATTTGGTTGTCTTATTTGGATTTTTTATAGTACAACTGTTACATGGAAGCTGGTTTATATGACTTATTTTAAAAGTAATTTAAGTAATTTAAAATAAGTGTCTTCTTCATGTTTATCAGGCATCCCCATCTTCTGAAGTGATTTGGCTGAAAGATGGACGTTCTCTGCCACTAAAGGCCACAACTGCCACCAGAGACAGACTGAGCCAACTCATCATAGCAGAAGCTGAGCTTTCTGACAGTGGACATTATGCTATCAGCCTTCAAACTGAGCATGGGAGAAAGGAAACATTCAGTTTTCAAGTTCAAGTTCAAGGTAAAGATCATACAAGAAAATCTGCAATTACGCATGTTCTACATTTGATCCTATCACCTTACCTGGAAAACTAGTCATATAGAACCTACAATAGTAGGGTTGGAAAGGATCATAGAGGTCTTCTACCCCAACCCTTTTCTGAAGCAGGAGGCCCTTATTGAAGCTCTGCCTATTTTTAATGTGCATTCTTAATTTATTATTAAATATAATGTGCATTTGCATAAAAAGGGGGTGGACTGTTAATTGCATGTCTGTAGTTACCATCTTGACTCTTTTGACCTTATCTTGCAGATACCCTTGTCTGTTAGAAACTCTGTATGCAAAGGCATTAGTACTTGAAAAAGAAAAAAAGAAAATGAAATATCATAACTACTCTTTAAGTAACAACACTTCAAGTTGTTCAAGCAAGAAGAATATCAGTTGTGAATTACCCACAAGTGCTTCTTTCCATATGAAGCTTCAAGCTAAAATTGCCTAACTTATAGAGAGCTTTTGCCCTTTCAAATTAAATTTGAAGGGTGGACCTGCAATATACTAGTGTTCCAAGGAAGACTTTAAGACTGTTAGTCAACTCACCTTTTATGAAGTGATTGAGTAACTAATTAAAACCAAGAGTATGTTAGCGTGTTATAAGCAGTAGTTTGAAGCCATTTGAAAATGGTCCGTCATATAGACATTATAGGCAGAAGTAGTACAGAAACATGTTTTAATAGGAATGAAGTTTTAATTCACCCTTCACTGATTTGGCATCTTCAATGTGGACAATATGGATGACAGCTCTCAGAAATTCCTGTCCACATGATCCGGGCATTTTTGGATTTGTAAACAACCCAACTGCGAGATACAAAGTTAAAAAGGCCTGCGTTACTACTTCAAGAGAAGTGGTAGTTTAGTACAGTATCTCTTGACATTATTCTCTCTTTTAATCATAGCAGATATCATCTTTTAATACCATCTTTACTGTATATGTTAATTCTATTAATAAAGATTCCTGCTGTAAATTACTTTTGCTTGAGAAGAGTAGATAAGAACCAGTTAGTCACACTCCTTTACCCATGCCATGCCTCTGGCTTCATTAGATGGAAAACGTGTGATCCCCATTTACACTTATAAAAATATCTCAGGAAATTTAAAATATTGAAAAAGAAGACATAACAGCTGAACAGAACTATTTTTTTAATCCATTAAGAAGAACTTTCAGGATGAGAGACTGAAGTCCATGGAGCTATTCTTCTTTCTTCAATATATTTACATTCTTTTTACCATGTTTCCCTGAAAATAAGACAGGGTCTTATTTTCTTTTGACCCACAAAATATGGCTTGGGCCTTATTATCAGGGGAGAGCTTATTGTTTTGGGTTTGCCAGGCGGCTGCTCTCTTGCGAGTGGGCTCCCAAAGAGCCAGGTATAGTCTCAGGGTGGAACAGCTGTGTTGCGCTGTCGCAGCAGCACTACATAGCAGCCATGAGGTGACCACGCTCACAAGCAGCCACCCGGAAACCTCCCTTTCCAGCTGGGCACAACACCATTCACTGACCTAGGGGTATCGTCAAGCCACAAGAGTGCCCGTTTGCAGCCCTCCAGCTCCCGCAGCTTGATGCCTTTGGAATGCCCCAAGGTCAGTGAATGGGGCTCTGCATGGTTGGAGAGTGGGATTGCGCAAGTGGCTATTCTGCTCCCCGCTTGCGCGACTCCCAGGCTCACAACTGGACTACTGCAACGTGCTCTACATGGGGCAGCCCTTGAAGAGTATTCGGCGACTTCAGCTTGTCCAGAATGCAGCCGTGCGAGCGATTGTGGGTGCACCTCGGTTCACCCACATAACACCTATCCTCCGCGAGCTGCACTGGCTGCCTATTGGTCTCCGGATATGCTTCAAGGCGCTAGTCGTCACTTATAAAGCCCTTCATGGTATTGGACCTGGGTACTTGACAGACCGCCTGCTGCCAATTACCTCCACCAGACCGATTAGATCGCACAGAGCAGGCCTCCTCCGAATTCCATCCACCGGCCAGTGTCGACTGGCGACTACCCGGAGGAGAGCCTTCTCTGTGGCTGCTCCGACCCTCTGGAATGAACTCCCCGTGGAGATTCGCACCCTCACCACCCTCCAGGCCTTCCGCATAGCCCTTAAAACCTGGCTGTTCCAACAGGCCTGGGGCTAAAGAATCGTTGCCCCTATCTCGAATGGTATGATTGTTGCGTTTTTTTAATTATGTATTGTTTTTGTGTTGTTGTTAACTGTCTGTATCTCCCTTCCCTTGTTTGAGTTGTGAGCCGCCCTGAGTCCCTTCAGGGAAAAGGGCGGCATACAAATGAAATAAAACTAAACTAAACTAAACAATGCCTTTGCCTAACTGTCCCTACAGAGCCAGGGCATCTCTGCTACTGCCGTCGCCCACCACATGGCTTTTTATGCGGCTTCCAAAGCACAGAGGTCGAGTCTTCCGGCAGATGGCGCTCTGAGAGTACGCTCTATGGTTGTGGGCTTGCTGCCGGCAGAGCGTACTCCCAGAGCATACAACCATAGAGCGTACTCCCAGAGCGCCAACTGCCGGAAGACTCGATATCCATGCTTTGGAGGTGTTTACATTTTTGTCCACCCAAAAAATGTGACATGGCCTTATTATCAGGACATGTCGTATTTTCGGGGAAACACAGTATTCAATATAGTTTCTAAATCTATGATATTTAAATATAGTTTCTGTAGGGTTTCTAAATTTGATTTTAAATAAATAATCAAATTGCTCCACTTTAGAAACACTTAGAAATTCTTTCTGATTTTGGTTTTATTTTGCAGATATTCCTGAGCCTCCTGGCCCTATAGAACTCATTGAGAAGGTCCCTGGGACGGTGACTCTGATATGGGAGCCCTCGCCCACAGAAAAGAGAGACAGTAACATAACCTACATGGTTATGAGATGTGATTCCAGAAAAGGACCGTGGCAAATGGTGGCTGACCACATTTACACCAACAAATATACAGTTATAAATATTATCCCAGGCCGGGAATATTTCTTCAGAATTCTGGCAGAAAATTGTGTAGGGATCAGCAAGCCATCTGAAACAGTGAACCCTTGGATTATTCAGAAAGAAAAAGGTAAACATAGACAACTATTGTTTGGGGAGCTGTGCACACTTCAAAAAACAGCCTCTCTATTCACCAAAGTGCATTTTTACATGATGTGGGGCTGTTGCTTTAATGAATCAGATTGTTAAAGCAATTTATCTATAACAGTGATGGCAAACCTTTACGGCACCAAGTGCCCAAACTGGAACATGAGTGCATCCATATTCATGTGCCCGCACCAGAGCGCCAGAAACCTAAAGACCAGCTGGCTAGTGTGCATGTGTGTGCCAGTCAGCTGGTCTTCAGGTTTCTGGGCTGTGCATGCCTGTTTTGTTGGCCGTTTTTTGAGCCGTTTTCAGGCTATGAAAACCAGCCTGAAAAAGGCCTGAAAAAAGGCCCCAAAAGGACCTGAAAATGGTCTGTTTTTTGGTCATTTTAAAGCTGCTTTCAGGCCATTTTCTGGTGCTTTGGCCTTTGCGAAGACCAGCTGGCCAGAAACCAGAAGAGCAGCTGACGATGGTGCATATGTCCACAGAGAGGGCTCTGTGTGCCATCTGTGGCAAGTGTTCCATAGGTTTGCCATCAGGAATCTATAACATGACTCCAAAAATAGCATCTTTTTTCAGCCTTGGGTTCATTTGGATTCACATTATAACAAATGGAATCATGTACAGTATGGACTGGAGTATTCCTGAGGCATGTTTAGGGTATCTGATATCTTCATAATATTGGACAACTTTGAATTGATTTGAATTGAATTGAACATCATTACAAAGTGACCAGTTAGTACTTCCCATATCAATGATTGCCAATCAGGAACACAGAATAATACCGGAATGAACTAACATGGTTTAGTATTTTTCCTAAATGAGATCAGAAATGGTAGATAATTGATTGTAATTCATCATTATCAAGCCAATATTGCCAGATAAATTTGCAAATAGAAATAACAATAAAAAATCCTTCATTGTTAACATAATCCTTTCTTCTCCTGGTTTTATTTTTGCACTTCTTCCAGATAAACCTGAAATGAAACTTCCAAGATATAAGGGGATCAACCGAGAGCAACCTCCAAGATTCCTTGTCCAACTGAAACCACATGTGGTGAATTTAGGATTTAATTGTCACATGAGTTGTGCTGTGACTGGACATCCAGCCCCTCAGGTCACTTGGTACAAGGGTAACAAGAATCTCTCTCAGGATCCTGCCTTTTTCTGCAAAAATGATTTTGGGGTTTGCTCCCTTGTGATCTCTGGAATCACACCATCAGATGCTGGCCAATACAAGGTGCTGGCTGTCAATGAACTAGGCCAAGCAATCAGCAAAGCTGAACTAACTGTGAAAGATGGAAATTAAAAGGTAGCTGAAGTTCACTTCCATATGAAATCATGTATTTTGCACCAAATTAGACTTTTTAAAAATGAATTCTGCTAATTTAAGATGGCAATTTTGAAAAATACTGATAGAAAAAGGGTAAGACTCATGGCTCAATATCTAGAATAAATTCAGTCCAGTAATTAGTTTGTTCGGTTCCCTCCAGAGTCATTTTTTTCTGCACCAATTCCTAAAAATTTTTTTTGATGATGGACTTTGACACTACCATCAATGATGACTGCATTCAATCTCAGTGGCAATCATCCTCCAAAAATAATAAAATGTTTAACTTTGCTTGATTGCACCTTTGAAGTAAATCCAGATTGGAAAAGTTATTGTAGTAACCTCATTACATTTAATCCCATTAGCCCTAGTTTAAGAAGCCAACTCAATACTTTGTGCAATATTACAGAAAATCTGCTAGTTTAAGAGTCTTAGAATGCTTAGCATTTTAATCACTTAGGTGATTCATAGATTTTTATCCCATTTTCTAACAATGAATGTAATATATATTTTATCTATGTAATATATATTTTATATTTATATTTTATCCCATTTTCTAACAATGAATGTAATTATATATATATATATATATATATATATATATATA